GGTTGAAAACCTTGCTGCATGATGCCAATATTCCAAAGAGTTATTGGGCAGAATCTTTGGCCTGTTTTGTTTACAGTTACAATCACAGGTTATCTTCAGCGATTGGTTGTACCCCCTATGAGAGGATGTTTGGCAAGAAGCCTTACATCAAACACATGAGAATTTTTGGTTCTGACATGTGGGTTCACACACCACGAAGCTCCAAGTTAGGCAAACGTGAATTGCATGGTATCTTTCTAGGTTATCAGAAAGGTTCTTACAGAGTAATGATGACTGACTCTAAGGCAATTAGGCTCACAAATGGCTACTGAATTCTGTACCAACTTCTGAATTGCCTTCAAAGACAGCCGCATGTATAACACATTGAGTAATCTAACCCAGAGGTCATCAGAGTATGGCTGGCCACCAGCCAAAGCAGATGGAAGGCACTTCATGCTACCAAGGCCACTTGAGCCTCAAGTGACAGCAAAGCAAAGTTTCCAGAAGTATCCCCAAGCTATGTAACTACTCCTTCAGAGGGAGTGTAATCCCATCAAGAGCAGGCCATTTCCCATCCATCCAGTCTAGGGAACCATTCACTTCAGTTTAATCTGAACTGAGCTTCAGTTTATTGGCTCCCATCCAGTCTATTACTGAGTCAAGACATCAGTCATGCACATCCACTGCTACACTTGTAGATGTTAAGAAATCCAGATGTGCCATCAACATATTGCTGTCAACGTACTGCAAGACTCTGGATGGCTCCATCCAGCAGTTTCCTGTAGATTAACATCCTGTAGATTAACATGTTTAACAGCATGGGGGCCATGCTTGATCCCTAAGGAGCTCTGCATTGAAGACTTTGTGACTCTGAAAAGCACTCCCCAAGCATCATCCTTTGGAAATGACTATCCAAGTAGGACCAGAACCACCGCAAAGCAGTGCTGCCCACCCTCACACTGGGAAAACTGCTCCAGAAGGATACCATGGTGAATGGTATTGAAAGCCGCTGAGAGATCAATAGGATTAACAGGGAATTAACACATTCTCCCATCCCTCTCCTGACTGAGGTCATCATGCAGCACAACAAAAGCAGTTTCCATGGCCAAACAGACTTAAACCTTGATTAAAATGGATGCAGAAAATTGGTTTCATCCAAGAGAGCCTGGCTCTGGCTCACAACCAGTTGCTCAAAATATACAAGCAAGCGTTTATTTCTTTGTTTTAAAAGACAAAAAGCAGTGATTAAAAACACTGAAAGTACAAATGCTAACATTTTTTTATCAAAATAGGTGTAAAATGGTTGAGAAGTCCTAATGTTATGAATAATTTCTTCTGAATAAACCCTAAAGGGAGATTACTGAACGTTGCTATGGACAAAAGAGGGATGCTTTAATCCTTAAGTTCCAAAGTTCTGCTGATAGCAGACTGATCTTATTATATAGGGACCAATTTCAGTGTTGCACATAGAGGTGACTGGATCTCATCTCTCTCCCTCTCCCTCTCCCTCTCCCTCTCCCTCTCCCTCCCTCTCTCTCTCTCTCACACACACATACACACACACACACACACACACACACGGCGTTGCAAATATTGGCCACAGATACTGCAGCTGAGGGAGGAAGGAGCTTCAATGCTCTATTCCACAGCATCCCAGCTCTTCCCTTTTCAGTACAGTTGAAGGTGAAGCAGCCTGCAGAGGAAAAAGGGGAAGGTGGAAGCAGTATTCTACCCTTGTTAGACCTTCCTCTTTCCAGACTAGAAATTGGAATGTGGGGCTGAGCTGCTCTTTTACTATCCAACATTTCATAGGTGAAGTAGGCACACTTATTTGAAACAATAGGAAACTAAAGCCCAGGGAATGAGGCTGCTAGTCACCGAGACAGCTAATCTTACACAGTGGCATCTGGCTTTTTGCTTATAGTCTGAGGTCTGCACTTGCTCAGTGTCCATGCTGGCACTGTTTTGAGCCTGGTCCTCAGCTATCCATCTCTCCATTGTAAATGGAGAAAACCACCTTTCTTTGTTTCTACAGAGGTTCCTTACAAATAAAAGGCAAGTGTAGAAAACCAGGACGTACCTCTGTAAAAAAACACACACCCTCATTTCAGAGATAACATATTTTTCTGCCAGAAAAAGTATTAGAAAAAGTTAGTCTGTTAAAGCCTATAAAACAATTTGTTCTACCAAGACACTCTGCTGATTTACTACAAATTCATATTACAGTGGTGCCTCGCAAGACGAAAAGAATCCGTTCCGCGATTCTCTTCGTCTAGCGGTTTTTTCGTCTTGCGAAGCAACCCCATTAGCGGCTAAGAGGATTAGCGCTATTAGCGATTTAGGGGCTTAGCGGCTATTAAAGGATTAGCGGCTAAGCTGCTAAAAGGCTATTAGTGGCTTAGCGGCTTTGAAAAGGGGGGGGAGCGGGGGGAAAATGGCGAGACTCACAAGACTTTTTCGTCTTGCGAAGCAAGCCCATAGGGAAATTCGTCTTGCGAAGCGCCTCCGAAACGGAAAACCCTTTCGTCTAGCGGGTTTTCCGTCTTGCGAGGCATTCGTCTTGCGGGGCACCACTGTATCCCAAAGATGTATTTAAATCAGTTTGTATGTGTGTGCTGTATAATGTTGTAACTCTTTGTGACATATTTCAATTACATATTACTTTTCAAAACTGCTTTGAGGTTTCTCCCCCTACAATCAAGTGGTATATAAATTTTATTAAACAAACAAACAAACATTTGTAGGTGCCGTCATCTTTTATAAAATCAAAATTACATTTAAAAAGAACTAGGATAAGTCAGTAGGGCAGAGACTCTTAATCTCAGGGTTGTGGATTCGAGCCCATGTTGGGCAAAAGATTCTTGGATTGCAGGGGGCTGGAGGAGAAGACATTCATGATCCCTTCAAACTCTACAATTCTATGATCTTATGATAAGAGAGTATTTTAATTTCTTTATAAAAATGTATTCTGCTTAATATATATTTAGAGTGTGACCCGTAACACTCAGTAAATCAAAACAAAACTATTTGTCACAAATAAAATTGATTTAGTCATGAAAATAAAATAAAAAATATTCTGGCAATCCATTATCATGTTTTAAATGCAATGGAATTTTTAAAAGCCATGTCAGATTTCTGGTGTTGAAAGTGCCTTAAAAGCTTCAAAAATAAGTCATGCCAGACCAATCTCATTTCTTTTTTTTTTTTTTTTGATGGAATTACAAACTTGGTGAATGAGGGAAATGCTGTGGATATAGTCTATCTTGATTCAGTAAGGCGGTACCTGTTTATCTACTTGCACTGGTATGCAAACAATACTGCCAATGGTAGTTCATGAGGAAGCTCAGGCTCGATGACCTGGGTCTGCACTAAGAGACAGCCAAGATGGTCTCTGGCCTCTTCAGCAGCCTCAGCTTTTGTAGCTGGACTCATAACTACAACATAACTAAAGTAGTCATAAGCAATAAAGAAAACATAAAAAATATACAACCAAACTGAACAATTTCCACATAAATCACAAGATCTATAATAAAGATACAAAACAGCAGCAACCACCACCCCTCCCAACAAATTCCGGCAAACAACACCCCAGCTCAAGGGTGTGTTCAGCAGTCTCAGCTTTTGTAGCTGAAGTCAGTCAGGGCCCCTCCCTCCTAGGTCAGGTGGGAAAAGGCTGCAAGGCAGAGAGCAGGTCTTCTAGGACTCGCAGCCAAGAGTCACCGCCAAGATGCCCTTGGGATGAGGGGCAGCTGCCCTCTATGCCCTGCATGTGTGTTGGTAGGGCAAGGAGTGAGCCACCTCAGAATGAGTAGACACATTGGAGAATTTTGAATGTGAGCCTTTTCATCAAAAGGAGCACGTATGCAACAGCTACAGTGTGACTCTGTGGACCAGATGGACAAGTAAAGACTTCCTATAATTTGTTTTAAAAACACCTTCATATAAAATTTATAGCATTTGATACAAACCACTCCAACCTGCGGGTGGCGCTGTGGGTAAAACCTCAGTGCCTAGGACTTGCCGATCGCATGGTCGGCAGTTCGAATCCCCGCGGCGGGGTGAGCTCCCGTCTTTCGGTCCCAGCTCCTGCCCACCTAGCAGTTCAAAAGCACTCTTAAGTGCAAGTAGATAAATAGGTACCGCTTTCTAGCGGGAAGGTAAACGGCGTTTCCGTGTGCTGCGCTGGTGCTGGCTTGCCAGAGCAGCTTCGTCACGCTGGCCACGTGACCCGGAAGTGTCTCCGGACAGCGCTGGCCCCCGGCCTCTTAAGTGAGATGGGCGCACAACCCTAGAGTCGGACACGACTGGCCCGTACGGGCAGGGGTACCTTTACCTTTACCTTTACTCCAACCTGCATCTTCACCTCACAGAGTGTTTGTTGTGGGGGAGGAAGGGAAAGGAGAATGTTAGCTGCTTTGAGACTCCTTCAGGTAGTGATAAAGCGGGATATTAAATCCAAACTCTTCTTCTTCTTAATATCATCTTGTAAATTTATGAGATCTATGGATTTAGGGCGTTATACAAATTTAATAAAATAATAATAATTAAAAACTCTCCCTTCGCCTTTCCTGTTATTGCTGCATATTGCTGGCCAAATCTCTGTAGGGCAGGCAACTTGCTGTTCACATATCCTGCTTCCAGCCCTTCAGTGGCACAAGAAATACTGTATCTATACCAAATTTGTTCATGACAAGGCCATAGGAACTCATACTAGTGCATAGCTGTCAAGGGAAAGGGAAAAGTTGACAGCTATGCGACTAGATATTCTTCCATTGCCCTGCACTCAGTTCCCATGATTACCTGACACTATGGTCCTCAGCCTATCAGCACTCCTTTCTGTTCTTCCTGTTAAGTCCCCTGTCAGGCACTCTGACTCGCTTCCCATTCGCCCAATCTCTGCATTCTATTCTGTCCCTAATCACCAAGGCCCGCCCACATTCCAAAGGTAAATCTACAGACGGTTGCTATCATCAGAATCCTTCTCTCTCTATAGGAGGGTCCTTCTCATTTTGCTTTGGGCCCACAACAGGCCATCCCATGGGGTGCCTTAGTGCATTCTTTCACCTGTCAGGGAAGATGACAAGCAGTCTTCCCTGGCTGCTGGTGCTGATCTCATGGAATGTGTGGAGTGAGACTGCAGGTCAGAACCCTCCACAGGGCTATAGGTATGCCTCCTATGAGATGATTGTCCCAAGGAAATTAACCCCCCGATATGGACAAAACCCCCACACTATCACTTACTTGCTGCAAATTGAGGGGAAGGGCCACATCGTGAAGCTCAGGAAAAAGAAGAGCTTTGTGCCTAAACATTTCCCTGTCTTCACTTACAGTAGGGAGGGGGACCTTCAGATGGACTATCCTTTCATCAGAGATGACTGCTTCTACCGCGGCTTGGTAAAAGGCCATCCTGCCTCTCGAGTCACCCTCAGCACTTGCTCGGGGGGACTCAGGGGTCTGTTGCACTTAGAAAACCGCACCTATGAAATCGAACCTGTTCAGGCATCTGCTACTTCTCAACATGTGTTGTATAGATTGGAGGAAATGGTGGGTGCTGTACAAATGAGGTGCGGGCTAACAGAGGAAGAGCAAAGACACCAAGAGGCCATGATCCAAAGCACAAATAATGTAACAGTTCAAATTGATGCGAGAGGAGCCTGGTGGACACATACCAGATACTTGGAGGTTGCCATTGTGATAGAACATGAACGGTATGTCAGGTTTGACAGAAATGAAAGTCGTATTGCTTTGCAAGTTCTAGATATTATCCATGCTGTAAACTCAATATATGAGCCACTTGCTGTTGAGTTGTCTATAGCTGGCCTGGAGATTTGGTCAGAAAAGAACCTCATGAAAATCGAAGACAGAATGGAAAAAACACTGCTCAATTTTGTCACGTTTGTAAAAAAGTCACTAAGTAAACATATGCATCTTGATGCTGCTCACTTATTTATATATAAAAGTTTTGGACCTAGACTTGGATTAGCGTACTTAAGATCAATTTGTCTTGCCCACTGGGCAAGTGGTATTGAGTCATATATGACTCCCAGTTTGTTTGCTATTAGTGTTACATTTGCCCATGCAGTAGGACATAATCTTGGAATGAAACATGATGAAAAACACTGCACTTGTGATCGACATTCTTGCATTATGGCTGCATATGGAGTAAGCACAGATAAGTTTAGCAATTGCAGTTACAAGGATTACTTCTCAGTAAGGAACAGAAAGTGTTTGTTAGTTCCACTAGACCCTGATCGAATGTATAAATTTGCATACTGTGGAAACAAAGTAGTGGAAGATAAAGAGGAATGTGATTGTGGCTCAACAGAGCAATGCAAGTTGGATCCATGTTGCCAGTCTAATTGCATGTTGAGTCCAGAAGCCACTTGTGCTTTTGGAGGGTGCTGTGTTGAGTGTCAGTATCTTCCAGTTCATAAGGTTTGCAGAGAACAGGTCAGCAGCTGTGATCTCCCCGAGTACTGCAACGGGACTTCAGAATGGTGTCCTGAAGATGTTTATGTACAAGATGGTGCCCCGTGTAGTGATGGGGCATATTGCTATCATGGGAATTGCACAACTCACACTGGGCAGTGCAGAATGATCTTTGGCAACAAAGCAACCAGTGCATCAAAGGATTGCTTCAGTGAAATGAATGCTCGAGGTGATCGCTTTGGCAACTGTGGGCTTAGACATGACACTTATAAGAAATGTGATACTCAGAACATCTTGTGCGGCCGAATCCAGTGTGAAAATGTTTATAAACTACCTTCTTTGGAGGAACATAGCACCATAATTAATACGCCCCTTGGCAATAGGCATTGCTGGAGTACAGATTACCATGCTGGAATGGAGATACCCGATATTGGAGCAGTGAGAGATGGGACTCCTTGTGGCACAGAAATGATGTGTATTAATGGGGAGTGCAAGAATGTGTCCCTCTTGAAATATGATTGCAATGTCACAAAGTGTCATAATCGAGGAATATGCAACACTTACAAACATTGTCATTGTGATTATGGCTGGGCCCCTCCAGACTGTCTGAACCAAGGTAATGGTGGCAGCATTGACAGTGGACCTCCTCCACCAAGGAACACTTCAAAACATAGCGTCAACATGACAGGAATTATAGCAGCAATTGTATTTCTTGTTTCTACTATTTTTGCTGTTTTGGGGCTTGGTATTTATTTCAGGAAGCGTCTGAGAGTGTGGTTTGTATAAAAACCAGAAAAAAACATATGAAGAAGGTGTAAAAGAGGAAGAAAATCCTGTCCCAACTGAATCAGAGAATTGAACAATACACTGAATGTGTCAAATAGATGTGCAGGAAATAATGGACAGGATTATGCAGAGATAAAAAGGCAACAAAACACTTTAACAGCTGAGCATCACAACGTTACGTAATCTTAGTGATTCCATGTCTTCATATCAAAGCAACTGAAGAATGCAGAGAACCGTGGAAACAAAATGTTAAAATGACAAAATGTTGATTTGTTTATCTAATTTATTCTTCATACTTTAAAGAAGGTAATCCAAAGTGATTTATAATATAAAAACAAACCCATACTGTACATTGAAACAGCAGAAAATAAAATAAAAACCAAAGATAAATGTAAAATAAAATCCCATTTCTAAAAGGCGGGATTAAAACATTCCAACCACTGGAGACCACAGATAACTAAAAACAAAGGTCTAGCAAAAGAGGGGGGAGTTTTTGCTTAGTGCCGAAAGCTATTTCTTCATGATGCCAGGTGAGCCTCCTCAGGGGGAGCATTCCATAAGTAGGGAGCCACCACTGAAAAGCCCCCTTCTTGTGTTGCCACCCCCCAGAACTCCTGAGGAGGAGGCACAAGAAGAAAGGCCTCAGATTATTATTGTAGGGTCTATGCTGGTTTATACTGGGAGAGGTGTTTCTTCAGATATTTGGGTACTGAGCTACAATAGGCTTTGTAGGTCAAAACCAGCACTTTGAATTGGGCCCAGAAACTGATTGGCAACCAGTGTGGTTGGGCCAGGATTGGTGTTATGTGCTCAGACTGTCTTGCCTCCGTGAGCAACCTGGTGTGATGGCCTGGGAATCTGATTCAGAGGCTGAACCGGTGGAATCCCAGCCTGCACAGGAGTCCCCGCCTCCAGGGCCGGCTGAGCTGGGGCAGGGCCTTGAATCTGAAGCGCCTACACCTCTGCCGGATCCTCAGGAGCAGACACCAATTGAATCCACTCTGGCTCCGGAGTTGATTGATGACCCATTGCCTACAGGTGCGCCTCTCCCAGCCCTGTCAGGGGAAGGTGAGCCTCCTCCTGGGTCCAGTAACCCTCCAGCCTCTCCTGAGCTGTAGAGGCTCAGGGCAGAGAGTCGGAGGGAACTGGTTTCTCTCAGGAGGAGTGCTCACCTTAAGGCCAGGAGAGGCGGGTCACCTGGGGGCCTGGACCGCCCCTGGCCTCAGAGAAGATAAAGGCCAGTCAGCCCGGTCCCAGGTTGTGGGAGCAACGACGTTGGAAAGCTGTTTCTGTCAGCACCCAGACCTGTCTTTCCGGAGTTCCCGACCACGCCCGGCTTTTGCTTTGAACCCAGCTTCCCCCTTGGTGGACAGTCTCCAGACCCTCGGCTTTTGACCACACCTCACGGTAACCCTCCTGGGACCAGCACAGTTTGCTCCCGACCCACCCGCACTCCCCCTTCGTTGGGGTGCGTTCGGAAAGAGCCAGAAGCCATGGCTGACCAGGCAGCTGCGTTGGTGGCATTGGCCCAGGAGAACCAGGCCTTGACACACTGTTCAGCAGCTAAGCAATGTAGTTACGGCGCTTCAGCAGCGGTTGGACGCCTTACCGGCTCCTGGGGCTGACTCCCGAGCTTCTGGCAAGTACCCAGTGGCCCTGCCAGAGAAAATTGATGGGTCCCCAGCCAGCTTTCCCGTGTTCCTTGCCCAGGCCAAGCTCTATATTCAGGGGCGAGCCCGGAATTTTCCTGACGATCGCACCAAGGTGCACTTCTTCATCAGTTTGTTAAAGGACCAGGCGGCCAAGTGGGCTTGCCACTGCTCCGGCAAGACTCTCCTTTGCTAACAGACTATGTGGGGTTCTGTAACCACTTGGAGATTTCGTTTGGCAACCCTCTGAAGGGGAGCCAAGCCAATCAGGCGATTCGTCAGTTGAGACAGGGCAAGTCCACAGCCACCGCCTACGCCACAGAATTTCGGCTGTTGGCTCAGGACTTGTCTTGGAATGACTGCACTTCGGGACCAGTATCTCGAGGGACTGTCGGACGAGATACTGGACCAGCTGGCCATGATGTATCGCCCCATCGTGCTGGATGCCGTCTGTCAGGGGTGCCTCAGGTCCCAGCTCACAAAGGACCAACGCCAGTGTCTCTTTATATACAAAGGTCTTTATTGAAGTTCATTGTTGGTTTTACATCCATGGTGCGCATCCCTACGTCTGTAACTCTAGACCGTCGAAGCTCCGTCTGACTCTTCCCCTCCCCTACACCAGTTTAACACCCGAGCTTTGCTCCACCTCTTCCTCTGCTCTTTTCTCCTCTGGGTCCTCCTGCCCCCTGGGGTTCCACCCCTCCTGGACTCTTCGGAGGCGGATTCCTCTGACTCCTCCCCCTGTCTCCGGCGGGCTTTGGGACCTGGCTCCCAATCCGGATTTTCTGCTGACCCGCGCGCATGCACATTTGAACTTGGCGCGCGCGCCCAGCTGGCCACTTTCCTCCTAACGGCTACACTGCTCCTGTCACTGCTTCCTCCTTCGGAGGGGCTGGCTGGAACTGACCTGCGCTCCGCCCCTCCACTCTCCGACGGAGGCGTGGTCAGTTCTGACTCTCTCTCCCTGCTGGAGTGGACGCCGGTTCTGATCTGTGGGCTTCTTCCCCCCCGCTACGCTCTGGCAGGGAAGCTGGCCCTGATCTCCAGCTGCCGCTTGGGGACTCACCGCTGGCCCCCCTTGCCCTGACCCTGGGTGCCTCTTTCTGAGAATCTTCTGATTCGCTGGAGAGACTCATGGAATCTCTCGGGTCAGTCATACCCTCCTAAGCTCCCCTCAGATTCCTCCCCTTCGCTCTCCAACTCCTCTTTCCCCTTTGGCTCTGCCCCTGAGCCCCTGACACCGTCATTCAGCGGAGCCTACAGATAGACGATTGGTTGGAGGACCGTCGTCAGGCCCGGGACCGCCAGCACTCCCGGCTCCTGTCCTTCCCAGCAGATCCACAGCCACAGCTGAGTTGCCAGACAAGGCAGCCCAGCTCGGGGCAGCGCGAACTCGCCTCTCCCCCTCGGAGAAGACGCGGCGTTGGGAGGGGAACCTGTGTCTTTACTGCGGTGGGAGTGGACATTACGCCCGATCCTGTCCCGAGAAGATGCAAGCCACAGGGAAACAGCCAACCCCGGTAGTCGAAGGCCCTGGGTACCCGGGGTCCCAAACCATGCAAGAGGGGCCCTCACCAGTGGAATTGCGACACCTCATGGTTCCGGTGTGCCTATACCCCCCTGGTGGGCCCTGGATTCTCACCCATGCTCTGGTGGATTCGGGGGCAACCTGCTCGTATATGGACTCTGCCTTTGCCGCCCATCATCAGGTTCCACTCCAGAATAAGTCGGAACCTGTACAGGTGGAGGCAATTGACGGACGGCTCCTGTGTTCGGGTGCTGTTACTCGGGAGACCCAGCCCTTGGTCCTGTGTCTCCAGCAGCACCGGGAGGTGCGAACTCTGGACATTGCTACCATGCCCCGTTTCCCCTGGTGCTTGGGATGGACTGGCTGTTGGCCAGCTTTCCTGAGTATTTTTCCGTTTTACTGCTATGGCTTCTACTGGAGAAGGCCACCACGGGACTTTAGGCTCCATCAGGTCTTTATATTTTTCCCATACTTTCTTATTATATAGTTGGTAAATTTTTTTATGAATTTTCGCTTTTCCATATATTAGGTAGGTGTGCCATCCCCAACGGTTGTCAGAACCTTCGAGGTCCAGGAGGTCCAGATCCTGCAACGTGCACCAATCTTTTAGCCAGGTGAAACAGGCTGCCTCGTAGTAAAGTTTTAGGTCGGATAGGGAAAAGCCTCCTCTCTCTTTTATGTCTATTAAGATCAGGTGTTTAATCCTAGGTTTCTTCCCTTCCCACAGGAATTTGGAAATTTCTCTTTGCCTTATCTTTCTTCACCCAGTATCGGAATCATTTGAAATAAAAAGATTAATTTTGGTAGCACGTTCATCTTTATAATGGAAATCCTACCCAGAAATGTTAATTTTAGTTTACTCCAGGTTACCAAGTTTTTTCTAATCTCTAACCAAGCTTTGGTGTAATTATCCTGAAATAAGTTTATGTTCTTGGGGGTGATCCAAATACCCAAGTATTTCGCTTTTGAAGAGATTTTCAGGCCCAATATTTTTTCTATTTTTAACAAACATTTTTGTTTTTGTTATATTCAGCTTAAAGCCTGCCACTTCTCCAAATTCTTTAATCAGTTCCAGCACTCTTTTCAGACTTTCTTTAGGGTTTTCAGTCATAACAAGTAAATCGTCCACGAAAGCTTTAATTTTATATGTTTTGTTTCCCAGAGTGATCCCTTTAACAAGCTGATCCCTTCTTATCTGATTGTTCAAGACTTCCATCACCAAGATAAATATCAGTGGAGACAGTGGGCAGCCCTGTCTGGTTCCCTTGTTTATTTTGCACTCCTCAGTAATTATTCCGTTGATGATCAATTTTGCATATTGTTCCGAATAGATGGCATTTATTGCTTTACAAATATTTTCTCCCAGTCCGATTTCTTCCATTATTTTTTTCATAAACTTCCAGGACACATTATCAAAAGCTTTTTCAGCGTCCACCAACATAATAGCTGCTGGTTTATCAATTTTAATATCCAAATATTCTAATACGTTAATCACACATCTAATATTGGATTGCATAAATCGTCCGGGAAGAAATCCAGTTTGATCTTTATGAATTATCTCTTTCAGCACCATTTTTAATCTATCTGCAAGAATGTCTGCGAATATCTTGTAATCGTTATTTAGCAGTGCAATGGGTCTGTAATTGGCCATGTTTGAGGCATCTGTTCCCTGTTTATGGATAAGAGTAATAAAGCTGTCCTTCCAGGTTTTCGGAAGCTTTCCATTTGCCAGAATATTATTCATTAGGTCTTTCATGGGAAGAAATAATGCTTGTTCTAACTTTTTATAGTAATTAGCTGGAAGACCATCTGGGCCCGGTGTCTTTCCTAATTTTGATCTCTGTCTGGCTT